GTAGGCTTCAACAATTTGGCCACAGCAGCGGCGATTTTGTCCGAGTCCCTAGGGGACCCTGGGTCTGGGATTGATTCGGCATCCGAGTCAAGTGGAGAGTCTGGTTGGGAGGCCTCCATAGCCTCAAGTAAAGTTTGCGCGCCCTTTTTCCCAGTTCGATAGTCCTCCCGTGCTGTGCCGCGAGATCGTTCAAGAAATTTGTCCATCTCTGGGGGTTTCGAGTAGTTATGCCTCTCGCCCTGTAATATAGCTCAGTGGCAGCTCTGGCCCAGTTAAAACGCTGATTTATTAGTCCCGAAGAACCGGAGCTCTTCACATGTGCGACTCTCCTGGCAGGCGCCGGAACCGGAAGTCTGGGAGTTTAATTTTAAAGATGTATTCAAGTACCTCAACAAAAATGTATCTTATTTGTATCACTCAGCTGTAGATCCTCAAATCATCTCTGAATTTGTGTTGACACTGTCCTTCCTTCTGGAGTGTGGCTACATTTGTTCCCTATGTGTGTTATAAAGTAGACACCGCTCCCAGCTCACTCCAGTGATAGACTAAAATCTCATGTTTAGTTCGCTAATTTGTATTGCAGTTATAGTCTATCACAAGAGTAAGCTTGAAGCAGTGGCACACACAGGGAGCATGGGAAGCAAAAGCAGCCATCCTCCAGAAGAAGGGACAGGGTCAACACAAATTCAGACATGATTTATGGATCTACAGCCAAGTGATACAAAAAAAAAAAAAAAATACATTTTTGTTACTTGAATGCATTTTTAAGATTTAATTTCTGATTTTAGGGTCACTTTAAGAGGGAGATTAAGCAACGCTTGTCATGGATTTTTGTTTAGGTTGGTGTGGAGGATTAATTGAATACGGTTATACACTCTGTTCCATACCTTAGTCATGCAGGGCCATGTTCACCAGATGTGTGAAATGGTTTCTGGTTTAACGCAGCCCCGAAAACATGTCGACAGTTAAAGGGTATTTTATAGGGGGTCTCCAAGTCCAATATGTTTCTAGATATTTTTGCTGTGACAAACCAAATATCCTGCCCATCCTCCAGTGTTATAATATGACCAAGCTCCTACTGCCATTCAGTTGGATAGGGTGCTGGGGTAAGGGTATTGGAGGACATCACAGAAAAATTAAGTATAGATAAGAATAAGACCAGGAGAATGTAGATCATTATGGCAACATTATTCGAAGGCAGCAATATCGAGGGTAGAGGAGTTGTCCTTCAGCAATGACAGGATATAAAGAAAGTAATGATAATGTTCCCACATGGAACTTTCATTGGAATTCTGTACTTATGGAAGGATTTGTATTCCAGAATCCTGCTGCACTCCTTACTGAGTATCCCTGTCAGCGTGGGTTGCTCGAAGTGACCGCGGATGGCACCGCCAATACTGAAACTTGTTAAAGATGTAACCAGCACACCGTATTAAAGAAATGAACACGTCTGTTTATTGATGCTTCATGTCAAAACAAATAATGTGTTCTTCACTTCAACATGGTGTGCTGGTGACATCTTTAACAAGTTACTGGAAGGATTTAATGCCGGTGATAGTAAATAGACAATACATGTCTTTAACCTTCCTGGCGGTCTGATTATGTCAGTATGTTTTCTCTTTTTTTTCTTTCTATTTTTTACTTTTGAATTTCCAGCCGGTTACGCCCCCTGTGACGCGCTCGCTCGCAAGGGAAGGAACCTGTATGGCGGCATCGGCCCGAGGACGCAGCGGGGCTCATAGGGACAAGATAAGTGACGCACAGTGTAATCCCGCGTGTGGCTTTGGGTTACCGCTTTTGGTACTGAAAATTAACCCCGAGCCATACTCGGGATTACCGCCAGGAATATACTGAAAAATGGCCTGGATGGGAAGGGGGTTTAACACCGCGGATGTCAACTGGTTAAAGTCTTGCCCAGACCACCAACGAAATTGAGTGGGGTCCTCAAAAGCAGGTAGAGACGACAAATCATAATCTCGATCAAAGGTAGATGACTTGTACAAGTCATTCTGAATTGAGAAAGTTGGCTGGATGACCATTGAAACGTCTTCAGGGAAGAAATACAGCAAGTCCAGTTGCCTTGACTTATTTCTTTACAGATATACCATGACCTGGGTGAATGAGAACCTTCACAGACATGGATGAGATGAGGTTAAGTTTACTGAGTATTTTATGCTATCCCATACTACAGGAGAATGAGTTAGGATGGGTTTGAGTTTGTGGAGGGCAGCTGAGTAGGGGCAACCATAGGAGAGTAGATATGGGGATCGGGTGGCATTCTATAAGCTCCAGAGATAGTTTTTCCTTGAAGAGAAATCTGGGCACAATGTTTAATGTTGATCCTGCCCATTCAAGAGAATAGTTTGTGAGAGTAGGTCTATAGATCAGATAGTGTTTCCTGTAGAAAACGCAAATAATGAGTAAATAAGTGTGATATATTAGAAAGTATCTGTACGTCTAAATAATTTTACTGTTGCAAATGTTAAAAGGAAAATTGTTTTACAAAACAATATCTTGAGGGGGTGGTAGAGGGATACGGAGTATTTCCGATTTGAGTAGTTTACCTTAAAAGTTGCAGAAGGAGCTAACTCATGTGAAATTAATTTACTTTAGATGGCATGGATATATGGGACTGCATAACAAGGTAAAATGTCTTCAGCAAAAAATGAGAGCTTTGTATTATTGGAACCAGTGTGGATGCCTCATACGGAGGAGTTTTGTTGAAAGGCAATGACCAGATGCGCATGGGCAATACAGAAAATAGGACTGAAAGTGGCACCCATGGCATATGCTACTGCATATAAAAAATCCCGGACATAGAGGTTCAATGACACTCACGCTAGCATAAGGAACATAATAAATGTAATAAGTTCTTTGGAGGCGGTTAGGGCCTAAACGTCAGACAGTATGATTAGGAAAAGATAAGTAGATGCATTCAAAGGCCATTTCTGTGTCTACCAATAAAAAGCACATAAGTATGTTTCAGTTTTGGGTGTGTTGGGTTAGCAAGAGGGTATTGCCCCAGGCCTCCTCAGACATGAACAAACCCTACCTGGCCCGGGTGCATCAACTGTGGGAGGAGAAGTAGGATTCTGTTAGCTATCAATTTAACGTAAAGCTTCAGATCAACTCTTATACACAAGATTAGGTGTTAATTAAAGCAGAGAGAGTGATCCTTTAACAGGATTTGGGATTAAGGAAATGTGGGTTGAGAGCTTGGCCTAGGAATTGAGTGAAAAGATTGCTTTGAAAGTTTAGGTGTAAACCCATTTGCCAGAGGGCGTGTGTTTATCTTTGGTGATCATCTCTGCTTACATTATTGGGGAATTTAATGTGTTGCATGTGTTTGGGTGTGCAGAGGGGTGCAGGATGTCTTGCATGTATTGTTCTAAATGTTGAACACTGGACTGGTCAGTACAAGGGGATCCTATCCCCCAGAATTGTACCGCTCAAAATGAGAGTCAAAGTTAAACCAAATTATGGATTCAATATCGCAAGAAGAGTTCCATACTATTGCATGGTGGCTAATAAAGAGATAATTGAGGCGACTACCGGATTGGTAAGCCGAGTAGAAACCGGTGTTCTAATTGGGATTTAAAGTGCCATTTCTTAAGGGCATTTATTTTGTTGAAAGAAAGGTGTGATCTGCATGTGGCAGATTCTAGGTGGAGTTCGGACTCACTCGTCCCCTTCCCTGCCCTGTCAGGCCTGTGCTCGGATCAAAGGTCTGGTTGATGAATTTTAGGGGGGACCCCCTAAAAATGGTCTGGTATTGTTTGGGAGAGGGAACCGCATACTTTTTTTCCCCCCCTTTATAAATGTCAATTTTTTGCGGCAGCAGGCTCTATACATCGTACAGATGCGCCACTTTACAAGCAGTTTCAGGGGACCCCCGCAGGCACGATACTTAAAGTAATTTTTCATTTTTATTATTTCACTTTAAGTAATGTTAAAATCACTGCTCCTTTAAAAACTATTTTTTAAAAGTGTTTTTTTTTGCATTTATTCATGTCCCCCAGGGCAGTACCCGAATCCCCATACCTTTTTTATAGCCAATAACTTGTATATAAGCCTTCAAAATGGGGAAATTTGATTCTCAGCGTTTTAGTCCCATAGACTTTCCTTGAGTTCAAAGATCGAGTTTCCATGTTCCTTTTTCCATGTTAAAGTTCGAATTGAAACTGAACTCAGGTGTGTTCGGACCATCACTACTGATAACCTCAGACCCAAAACTATTACATTCACATTTTAACAACTTCTTTTTCACAAACCATTCCACTGAAACTGTCCTGACAATTTGACAATTCTCCCCTTGGCGGTATTTCTATTGTCTTATATTTGGTAATTAGAAGTGTACATCACTGTCCTTTTTCTACTGTTCCTTCTCAATGTCAATGATAAAAAATGTTTGCAAAAAAAACTGTCCTCACAAAATAGAGAACAGTGTCAAGCCAAAACACATTTTTTTAAAGTAGTAATAAAACTTGCAGTAACGTTCAAAAACAGAGAAATGCATATACCTACTTAATACCTTTCCCAACTAATAAAATCCCATCCCTTGCATTCTGTTATTACTTCTGGTTTTTGCTGTGGATGACAAACAAATGTTGAGTTCCTGTCACACCTCACTGCTTCATTACTGTCCGATGCCACCAAATATAAAAGTGCAGTACATTTGTAAATGTCATCACATTTCATGAAGACAAATGTACTCAAGACTCATCTGGTGATAGTCCATAACCCCACCTGTTCATCTTCACTGTTACATCAATGAACAAATCTATCAACAAACAACATTTTCTGGTTTATTGCCTAAGGATTAAAAAAAAATCCCAATTTTCTACAATAAAACCTACATACATTGAATTTCCATGACCGTAAACTAAAAATATGTGAATAAAAAATTGATTTCTTTAAAGAAATGGAGAATTGAATAAAAAAAATACTGAATAAACATTCCACCATATTAAATATAAACATTTGACTGAAGTTGAACTTACCTCAAACTCTGCATGCCTGTGTATTTCCTCTGCTCGCTGTCTGCTCAGGATAAATTCAGCTTCATTTGCTACTCTCACCAGGTGATCTTTCATGGTTTGGCTCAATAATCTACACAAAAATGATATAAACAGCTCATTAAATGTATATAGGTAATGCCCTTATAACCAATTTCAGAAGCACTCTCCTATTGGGTTCAATTTTGCCCTTTTATTATACTCACTTTTCTGCCAAAGCCTTAGCCAGCAGGAGCTTTCAACTACAATACAAATTCAGTCATCTACCCTAATATTTGGAAGGAGCTGCATAACTACATCTGTAAACTCAAAGACTCCTTAAAATAGGTCTGTAACCAAGTTGATCAAGTGGAAAAGCCAGCATATTAAACATGTCATGTAGAAACTAAGGAACATTTGCAAGTGATATACAAGAATTTGTTTAAGAAGGAGGGTTCTCAGCAGTAACAATGCTGAGAACCCTCTGCCTGCACAACACTGCAGTGCTCAATAGGATTACAATGCTACAGACATTTCACTGCAATGGAATCTGCATGCTCACCCTATTAATGTAATTTTAAACACTGGCAGTGTCACCAAGTATTTTTGACAGAACAACATCAAAATAGAAAGCAAACAATGCACTTTATAATTTAACAATGTAAGTACCACTCTGTAATAGCCTTCATTACAATGCCGTTTTTCAGTGCTGTGCTAGTTTGACTGACAATTACTTGGTCATGCTGAATAAAAAGAGCCTCTGAGCCATGGACTGGGTTCCAGAAGCAAGAAGCTTGGTCATGCTAACCAATAAGCGATTACCATTTGCGAGTATTATAATCTTTATAGACTGTGGGACTGTGAAGTACAGTGTACTAACAGCTACATCAGCTGGTGGGGACTTCATTTTTTTTTGCAAGTAAATTTTTTTGAAAAGGTGAACTTAGCGTTTAAGGATCTTTTTTTATTTGCATATAGTTCTACTTTAGATTCAAAGAAAATCACAATTCAAAACAATTTATACACAAAGTCAGCAGAATTTATATCCAAGATTTGACTTTTCTGTAAAAGTTGAGCTTGGTACTTCCCATTCTACCTCCTGATCCTTCATGTTGGCCCTTAACCATGTAGGACTACCTCAGTGGTCAATAGGGGGTCAGAAGGTCAGGAGCTAAATTCTACACTTACATGAATGGCTTTTAGCTGCATGTAACTTCTCATTTTTTGGACATCTACATTTAGATTCTCATATCTCTAGATCTGCATAATTGCTACGCAGTTCGAATTGTAACAAGGTTTTCTTTTACATGTTCTCGCCGGAGTATTGCATATATGCAGTGACAGGGTGGATGGGCCTCAACACCAAGCCACCACATTTATGTGTTCGCTGGCTCTGCTGTTCTGTGTTGAGTGTATGTTCACTGGCACACTCCCAGCTGATCAAAATTGAGGGAAGATCAGCTGCAGGGAGACAACTGGCAATACAGGTACTTGTGTGTTGATTGTGCCTAAGACAGCATTATGCTCTGGTCAAAAATCTGCTAGGAGAAAAAATTGGTTCTTGAGGACTTCTGGTGCTGATGTTTATAATGGTTTTCAGTTGCATACCCTCGCTATAAGGCTACATTCAACATGGGGTTATTATGTGCAGCTAGGGATTCCTGTGGCAAGAGCCTATGGATTCTTGCAGCAGGAATTCCTGATGTGTCCAAACAGATTCGGCCACTGATTGCATCCAGGGACAATCTGTCCGCATCCAGAGATAATTACCATTCCAGAACCGTAGGTAATCATTCCATGTATGATTACACATGGACAGCCACTGATATATGCTCTATCATTCACTTGAACGAGCACAGTGGCTGCATCTGTGCAGACACACCTGGGATTCCTGCCGCAAGAACCCATAGGTTCTTGGAACAGGAATCCCCAGCTGCAGCCTAATATCCCATGTGAATGGTGCCTTAGCTTCGAACCCTTGCTTTCCTGATGAAGTCTGGGTACTGGGGAGAATCGTGAGCGAAATGTACATGAACCTTCACATTCCTATGTGAAATTCTAAATTTTTTAGCAATTTTAAATGATAACTAAAGGGTTGTAGCTGCTCATTAGAAGGTTTTAGATTATTGCAATTTTTGTATACATTTTGTTAGTTATTCTCTTAAAGTAGTAATAAACTCTCCAACTTTGTTTTAATAATGAATCCAGATCAAACCAATATACATCGCCCAGTAAAGCATTGCTTTACATTATTGCCTAATCTTATAATCATTATGTTGCTGAACAGCTGCTTCCAATTTTCTTATCTCAGCTTCCCTGAACTTCCTGCCCAGTACTAGATCACAAAGGACACAGGACAGTGCTGACTAATAACTGGGGAGAGGGAAGTAGCTTGATTTGCAGTGTCTGTGTGTTTGTAGAGACACACACAGATTTCTAGCGCACACAAGGGTGACTGCATAGCACTATGCTTGAGAAAGTAGTCACTCTAAAACAGGATATCAGGACCAGGGCTCAGGGGACCAGCTGATTCTGCATGAAACTAAACTTTTTTATTATTTCTTGGGGATGAGTCACAAAAAATATTTTGATTTTTGTACTACAGTTTATAAACCAACTATAAATATGTAGGCATGTTACACTAAAGGCTATTGCTTAGATTTACTCTGTGATATCTATGCAAATGAAATAATCAATGTCCAAATCCAAAGCAGTCCTTCTACAAAAAAGGTCAAGGGAGAACATCCCTACATAATAGGAAATAAAAACAATACAGACCCAGGCAGCGTAACTGAACACTCTTGTTACTGTTAGATGACCTCTGGGATCAAGGTTTATAGAAAATGCCTCTGTAATCAGGCACCTGAAGCTAGTATGAAATAAAGGCTTACACACTTGTCTTTCAAGCCAAAAGGTTAAGCTCAATAAGAAGGCAGGAGAGTAAGGAATACTTGATCTATGCTTGTGCTCCAATGCTTCACAAATGTATTGGAAAAGTTGAATCAACTGAAAATATGTATACCAATTTCAACATTTTAAATAAAACTTTTAAAACGTTGTCCAGGGTTTTTGGACACATTTGTCACCACATTTTGCTCATTACTACTATTAGGCTACAATTTTGGTAATTATTCATACTTGACCCACTACAGTATACAAAGCAATTTGTTTTCAAAATCAGAGGCATATAGAGCAGCAAATACAGATAAAACAAAGTTAACCCTTCACACGAGCTAAGAGAAAAACAATGCCAATTTACAAGGGTAGTTAAAAACAATTCTAACATAACACGTGACAAAAGTATGCGGCTTACTAAAGCTATCATAACTGGTATTTAGAGGACAAACAAAATCTGCCAAACAATACAAATAAAGTACACCTTTCTAGAAACACAAACTATTGCTTATTATAGCGCTGGAAACACTGCATGGGCCATACACAATGCATTACAGTAAGAAGGTGTTCTTTCCTTTGAAGTTCATCTATGAGGAAATAAACAAAACTCTCCTTGCAGGCGGCTGTCCCCCCACTGCAAGGGTTGAATACTCGTTTAGTTCTAAAATATCGGGTAAAGCATATTTACTTACCCAAGGGTTAGGATAGTCATCAGTTGGCACTCGCCTCATATCCCCTACACTCCAGCTTATGGACTGTCCCTGAGCATACCCACATATAATGCGGGGCCATGGGCCCTGCATTGTATTCAATAAAGTCAGCGTGTCTGACTGCTGGAGCATAGGGGGTAAGAGGCCACATGCGACGGTCTTGAAGCCTGCAGAGGTGGGTAGGTAAAAGTAATTTACCCAGGGACCCTAGACCTAAATTAGTAACTGCAAGGGACGTTTTTGTTATTGATAAAGTCCATGAATTTTAAACAAAAATAACCATGCATTTCAGAACTTGAATATGCCATTGTGGTAATAATGTCCATTACATTAATTCCCTTTTAAATTTTGCGTACAGATTTTTTAGCCACATATAATAGAGGACCCAGCTCTCTAGCAAGTGTTGCAGGTGATGTTAAAAACTATTAAAAACTTTTTTTTTTTAAGATGTAGAGTGAACTTAACCTTTGCCTATTTAAGGCAACAGCTAGACCTTCCAAACCCCTCAATATGGATGGATCAAGCCTTTTAAAAATGCTACATTATCCAAAACAAATATTAATATACACTCAACATTGCTGGGCTGAATCATCTGCTATCTGCTCTCTTTCAGACACTGTTGCATATTTTATCAACCGGGCAGTCACTACACAAATTATGAAATAGAGCTTTGTTTTATATAGGATTTATTAACCCTTCAGTTCACACACTGAGTTCTATCTGCTAAGCTAGATCCCCTGCTCTATGTGGAATAACAATTATTTTTAGCAATGCAATATCCTTCAGCTCTCATTGCTGAATAAAGAAAAACACATAGGGCAAATAATGCATGTGTTTTAGCTTAGTCATTTAAACGTTATGCCACATATTTATACACCCTTTACATGATTAGCAAGACAAGTGATTTGTTTTTCCCTATTGAATTCATGCATGCACAACTTCCTTTGTGAAGGAAGACTGGAAATATTTACTCGTGAAGCGTGTTTGCTTGCTGCGCACAGGTGGGGGAAATGTTCTTCATTGGGCCTAAATACAAAAGGACCCCAGCTTTACCAGGGTTTTTCACCACACACACAAAATACACTTTATAGTTGTGATATGTACATTAAGTTCTAATTTACCTTCCTTCATTAACTAGTTCAATAAAAGCAAGGCCAGCATTTTTCTGAATAGAATTTTGCCATTCCTGTAAAACACAAAAACAACCATTTAGAAAGGGGTAAAAATACATGCTACTGTACAATATCACATATGTTAGTTACAATTTCAGTCAATATTGAAAGCACTGATTTTTTAACTTTTCTTTAAGTGTCACTATTGCATTTTACCCACACTTACTTCCACAATGGAGCACAGGTATATATTTCAAATAATAAAATAATAATTCAGAATGTAATTTATGCATGGCTAGCTGCATATGAGCAAAGATTTGAGAAATATGGTGGTATAATCAAGTTGTAAAGCTTTGTCAAGGTTATGGGGAACACTTCTAAAACTCACTGGTTTAAATCTGAACTCTGCACAATTATTGCAGATATTTGTTCAAAATAAATAAATACAACGTTTCACAACAGCTTGAGAACCTCATATCAGCCGCCTTCAATCCCCTGTAGAGCAAATGTCAGACTGGGAGAGGGAAGGCAAGCCCTAGATGACAGTAACGTCTTAAACTGGAGTGCAAATGTGTTGATATATTATATGCTGACAGTAGGAGAAAGCAGAGTGTTCATCAATGTGTTGCTGCTCATTCATACCACATCATCTCCAGACCAGATTGTTTCCAGACACAAAATGCATCCTTAATCGATTATAATCGATTATGTCGATTAGTTGTTGCAGCCCTAAATATATCCCTATGCTACTTCTGGCCTCTGTTCACACCAGTGCAGCCGTCTCCAGTCCAGACCAGAAAAATACCGCATGTCTCATTTTGTCTGGTCTGGAATGCCCTGGAACTGCAAGCAGGTTCACACCAATTTCCGGACCAGATCTGGTCTGGAAAATGGTGTGAACCTGCCCTCAGTGTTCAGTCAGCAGGCTGGGGGGTGTGCTCGATATCAAGCTCCTGGCAGGTTAAAGGAGAACTATGAGATGAGTGATTTCCACTCACCTCATAGTTCTAGCCGACCTGTGACAATGAGACTGTCACAGGTCGGCTCAGTAGATCGGGAGGTGAGCGAACACCTACCGGGTTCGCTCGCCTCTCGACCCTGTCACGGCTCTCTGCCGTGACAGGGGGAGGGGCTGGATTCCCCTCTCCCTGCTCCAATCTGCCAGCGCTGACTGGTGGAACGGACGGGGGAGGGGGCGGGTACAGCTGGCTCTGCCTCTAGATAGGCAGAGCCAGCTGTCACTCACGCAACTGGGCGGATCCCGTCATCTACGTCTGGATCTGCTCCGGCGTCTCATTATACCGCGCGCTGTAGCTCGCGGTATACTGAGCTTAGGGTGACGGGAGGATGCTAGTTTGTGTCCTCCCGTTACCCTAAGGAGAACTATGGGGAAAAACACTGACCCCATAGTTCTCCTTTAAGAACCTCTCCTTGCTATCAGACCTAGATCACAAGACTGGCTAAACTGAAAAACAAACCTTTTAGTAGGTAAAATAGTTCATATATATGTATTTTAACGGTGTCTTAAAAACTGAAGTGTGCTTTTTTTTATTCTAAAACACAATTGTATATTTTATTATTTTCCAAGGAAAATTAAGCATACACATTACTGTTGTCAGTATATTTTAGCAAAGAGCTGAAACTGTCTGTTTTTTTGCCTTTGTTACTTTCCTAAACACCACTCTATTTCCTTCATTAAATGCTTCTCACAAACTACATACATGATTTGTAAAAAATAAAAAATAAAAAACACATTAAAAGGAAACAAAAATGCATTTGCAAAACAACTAAAACCAGAAAAAAAAGTTATGGGCATAATTTTTCATAGTAAAAAAACATATTGCATCATACAACACACTTTCTTAGAACAATTACATATTAATGTAATATACAAAGTGTGTAATAGCCTTGGTTATTTGTTTCCCAGAGGTACAAAGCAGAAACACTATAAAAGCCCCAGGTCCACCACTAATGCAGCCATGTAACTGTAAAGCACATTTCAACACTTAGGAATTGAAGGGCTGCAGAGAAGATTCAGCTTTGTCAATATTCTAGAATGGTCCTAATTGACACACATTTCCTGTGGTACCTTATCCTGGGGTTCTACATAAATAGCCCTCCTGATACAACAAAGTGATATTTCAGGAAATAAAACAGCAAAATAATGAAAATGACAAAGAGGCAAATTAGTGATATAAAAGTGTGCATTACACAACTGTAATC